AATGCCTCTAGGCAGAAGCACAATACATTAACACCGGGAACATTCAGTTCTGAACTAAAAGGCCATCTTTATTCTCCTTCCTGATCCATTGGTCAGAGTCTGGGAGAGTGGTTTGCAAGCTTCCTCCATTTAAGGTACCCTTTCTCAACAAAGATGTGTTTTAAAAGGTGTCCCCCCCCCCCCACATGTTACAGAAACACATTCTGGCATGTCTCTTTGCATGGAGCACTGGTCACGTACACTGGATCTCAGTATGCCTAAGAACCCAAGAACAGTCTTGCTGGATCAGACCAGAGGTCCAGTTAATATAATCCAGAATCCTGTTTTCCACAGTGGCTGGCAGGATATGCTTCTGGAAGTCCAGAAACAGGCCATGAAATTTATAAGTGTCCCTGCTGTTTGCACTGTTGGGGGGTGAGGTGGTAGATAGTGTTACTCAAAGGTAAGCTCTGTTTCTGAACATGAAGGTGCTCTTCCACCATCAAAGTTAATGGCTCCTGATTGACCTACCTATGAGTGAGGGTCTGAAATTGATGGGATGGGGTGGTCATCTGAGATGCTGGATTGCCTTGCCCCGGTCCTGTGTGCGTTTACTGAAAAGCAAGTTCTACTGAAACCAGAGGAGGTAGTGATGTGAAGTGAGCAGCAGTAAGTGTTCTGGCATCCTGGGAGGGTGTTAAGAACCACCATTTGGTTTCTGCTCAGGTTCTTCATTTGAGGAGCTGAGACAAGGAGAAAACTACTATGCCACTCCAAGAAAAACATCCTTTTCATGACAGAAACCAGATATTTCGGCAGGAATATTCATTTAAAATACTTATATCCAGACTTCCACAATGCTCAAGGTGAGTAAACACATGGTCAGTAAACCCATTTTATTTCTGCCAAACCTCCTGGTTTCCAGTGAGGGAATGTGTGTACCTGTGTGTGTTTATAATTCTTTACAATTACTTAAAAAAAAAACATGCATACACCTAAGATACACTTTATAATGTACAGTGAGAATTTATTGAACATGTGCATTACACACTTATCAGCACTGGGTAGCTACCGAGGTCCCAGTGCCTTGGGAGGGACCCCCCACTGTACTGCAGCAGCGATCACAGCTTGCCCTCTCTCTCTGGTGGTGCTCTGGGCTCCCCTGGAAGGACTGGACTTCCAGAGTCAGGAGGCAACATCCAGGGATGGCCTCAGCTTCTCTGCCCTGTTGTTGGCCATCCAGAGGAACTGGCTGGCCACTGTGTGAGCCAGGATGCTGGACTGGATTTACCCTCACTGGTCTGACTCGCAGGGCTCTTCTTATGCCCACCCTGCCCACATCTCAATGGCTTGCATATCAAGAGGCCTTTTCTGCACAGGTGATAGGGTTGCACTGTACAAAATGGTTCACAGACATGCCTACATAAACGATTGGGACTGTGATCTACACTGCTGTGTTTAGCTTGTTGTAGTCCAATTGCATTATGTAACCTCTGTACCACTCAAGAGGTCATATGAATACTTATGTAATGCTTCAGTTCTTTCTAGTAGTCCCAGACTCCTCAAATCCTAATGCATTAGTTATTGAATGTTCCCATTTTCTTGATTGCACTGACTCACTGTACGTAGTCCGCCTTGAGTGCCTGTGAGAAAGGCGGACTATAAATGTAAATAAAGAAATATCACTGCCATGGGTGAAGGCAGTGGCTCCTCCTCCGCCTCTGCCAGAGTCAGATGGTAGGAGAGCCAGTTTGGTGTAGTGGTTAGGAGCGCGGACTCTAATCTGGGAGAACCGGGTTTGATTCCCCACTCCTCCACTTGCACCTGCTGATGTGACCTTGGGTCAGTCACACCCACCCTGCCCCCATCTCAATGGCTTGCATATCAAGAGGCCTTTTCTGCACAGGTGATAGGGTTGCACTGTACAAAATGGTTCACAGACATAAACGATTGGGACTGTGATCTACACAGTGATCTACACTGCTGTGTTTAGCTTGTTGTAGTC